ATCCGATGATCATCGATCCCCATGCAAAATTACCAGATCATACCAATGAGAGGAATGATTATACTTCTCACAGTATCAGTAAATACACAAGCAGATGTTTCTACAACTACCTCATACTCTGAAAGCTCCTTGTTGGTTAACAGTTTCTTTATTAGCGTTCCAGTCATCATATATCCATCCTAACTTTACAGATAGATAGACAGATAGCGGATTTGAATTTCTGGAGCATTTCTCCATTTCTATTTGACATCGATATTTACACCAAATATTTATTTTACTCACGATTTCGCCAGAGCCATGCTTTTCGTTATGATTACATACCCACTGATTACCGTCACAGGACAGTTTCCCTTCAATATTCTTACAATATTCTTATTCTTACAATATACAATTTTCTTTGATGCGCTTCCGTAGGTATAGGCTACAACATGAATTATTAGCACCGCATTGAATGCCTTCTATGCCTTTGAATGTACCTTAGATTTCCACATCACTCAGGCGTATAGTATGGTCACGTAGAAGCTTTAAGTTAGCGTTGTTTTTCTTTTTGTATTCTATTGAGTTTTTTCTGCAAACCTGTCCATGAAAACAAGAAAAAATTCATGAAAACGGAACATGAGCTCATTTCACCCTATATTTACTGTATGATGGCTCAATCCACCAAGCTTACTCGATTAACTCACTCGTAGACTCACCGTTTCTCCTGTAGCGGCTCCCTTTATCAGGATGAAGCACTGACATCCTTCTCACTGTTGTGCATACCAAGTGATGATAACTAGTTATCGCGGGACTATAACATATTTTGTCAGCAAAAGAAAATGGTATTTACCTTATTTTGTCATTTACAGACTTCTTTACCACCTAAACTTCTTAATGACAACTTTTCAGAATTATGTATTGATAGGAACCCAACGCGCGTGATAGCACACTCCTACTTATCATTTCCTGCTGTCTGAAAAAGCGTTTAGACTACCCAACGTTTTCAACGCCGGAGCCCAACCTCTGTTAAAATTGGTCATGATTATAATAATACATTCACAGTTGATATTCTATGGAAATGTTTCTTCATAATTTTTTCTACAAAACCTTACTAATGATTTGGCCAATCTCGGGTAACTGACAAGAAGCAGATATATCGATAATGTCTTTCTTGGTTACAGAAAGATAAGAACTGAGTGTAGCGATAAACTAACAGACAGTGCAAAGATATGAACAAGGTAGCAATGTATACTGAATTTATATATACATTTGTAAATAGCTACTGGATTGTTTTTAATTCATACATCACAATTGTCTTCAAACACGTGCGTAACTGTACAATACTTGAAGCTCGGATGAAAGTATGAGCTCGTATTATTCATTGTAACGAGCATTATAAACATCACATTTTTTTTGGTTTTACACCCATGTTCACTGCCCTTCATTTACACACATACAATGAATAAAAACAAATATAGCTTCAATTTGCTTTACGCAAAGGAATTTCTTGCTATTCGCCTTTTTCAGTGGACAACCCCTCCTACTGACAAAACAATACTAAAACTCCTGAACAACGTGTAGAGTTACAATTTTTCCACGGCGACAAGGGTGCAACGTTGCTTTCTCTTGCACTTCGAAAAAAGAGACATAGATGTATTCGCTAAAATGACCAGTTAGGATACTGCATCATTTGTTCAAAAAAGTAGCTGAGGAGGAACGATACTGATCCCCAGTAGGCTGACTGTAAAACCGAGGAGAAAACGCTAGTTTCTCTTGTCTCGAGCAACATTACTTAAGAGAACAGACCGAATGCCTTCCACTAAGAGATTGAAGATTGAAGTGATTATTGACATTACGACTGAAATATTCATGACTTACACCAGTGTCTTGAGCACTACTTTTGCGAGCCTCTTGTCTCCTTAAAGACAGCCCCCGCGCTTGAGTAGCTCGTGGTCGTCCTTTGCTGTGCAAGTAGTCTAGCCTCCAAGCTAGAAGACTGTTCACCTTTCGCGACTCTATTGTGAGCGTGGAGGCTGCTATAGCCGCTCAAAGTGCTAGTTCTAACTCCTCCTCAGTCGGACCGCCTTCCTTAACTAGAAGTCTATCCAACGAATGTCTACATCGGACTCCGCCCGATGTATGGACTTCCGCGTTGCTGCTATATATAGTCGATCGAAAGTAAGTAA